GCATGATGAATGGTGCTTTGAATTCGGTAAGTCAGGAATGAAAATCTGCCGACAAACGAAGTTCACATGTGCTGGGATCACGGGTGAATTAGGCTGAACCAAAAATCGAGATGAAATGTACCAGTTCTCAAACGGATATACTACAATGGATTTGATGGATTCATAAAATACAAAACTCATGCACAACTGCGATCAGTGTGAGACCAGAGATCACTCAACAGGCGATTCAGTTCATTCAACTACCCTGTGCGAAACACTGCTGATCAACCGGGATCTAAAGATTCGATACAAATCAAGCCAGAAATACGATATAGTGCGTTTCGCACCCTGAACTCTCTTGGATAAAGCACGCTTACGGTAAAGTTCCGGAGAAAATCAATGGCTGAAAAAAGAAAACCAATTGCGTCACAGCCTCGCCGTTTTACTTGCAGACAACATGCAGTATGGAAAACAACTCCCATATTGAACACTTTTTCAACAATGTAATGTTGGGTTGGGTCTGTCCCTATTCTTTTGAAGGCGGGCGGTGATTTTTTTGTCGACTCAATTACTAGCTTACTTCGCAACATTTGGTCGGAGGAGCGTATCCCTTTGTCCTGGGGTGAATCGTTGATCGTCCCGATTTTTAAGAAAGATTCACACAACGATCGCTGGGTTAGCTTAGTTGCGGTCATCACAAAAGTGTGACACTTCACCGCCTGACACCCTTAAGAGAGAGGAATATTCACAAACAAGCCGGATTCCGACCGGGTCGCAGTTGCTTCGACCAAATCTTCACTCTGCGTCAGGTCCTCGAACTGCGTCACACACATCATTGGCCAACAACCGCAGCGTTCTTTGACCTAAAAGGAGCCTTCGATTCAGTTGACCGTGAAGCTCTTATGGGGTCAATGCTTCGCAAAGAAATGCCACGAGAGTATGTAAACCTACCGCGGACAGCTGTACCTGCATACTTTGGTAGCGTAAGGGTCTACGGTGGGGTAAGTAAATCGCTCGAAACCAGGAGCGGTGTCCGTCAATGGTGCCCTATTTCGCCATTCCTGTTCACCTTCGTCGTAGATGAAATACTGAGGAACGCACTTAATGGTCTCCAGAACGTAGGTATTGAATGGGCAGCTGGTGAAAAGCTGTGCGATTTAGAATACGCTGATGACATCGTTTGCCTGTTCGAATGCGCAAAGCGCTCTTGACAGACTAGCAAGTTCTGTAACTCATTTCGGCATGCGCTTTGCACATTCAAAGTGCAAAATGATACTACAAGACTGGGTGTCGTCTACCCCAGCGCTGATGATTGATTTTCAAGGATAAGCTGTAATGGAATGTTTCACCTATGTAGGTAGCTGCGGTTCAAATGACAGTAGCATAGTGAATGAAGTAACCGCCCGCATTTCCGAGGCTCTAGCAGCTTACGCGGGACCGAAATACCTTCGGTGCAGACGCGATGTTTCGTTGAAAATGAAAGGTCATGAATACTGCGCCAGCGTGCGGTCAGTTCTCCTCTATCGTTGTGAAACCCGAAATTTGCGCGTAGAAAATATTCGTGGTCTAGAATTAGTCGACTGCAGATGTTTACGTAGTTTGGCGCGGGTTGGATGGAGCGAGTTTTTAAGTAAGTCTGAGATAAGTCGCCGCGTATTTGGTAATGATTCGATGGAGAATTCGTTGTCCCATCGAATTCAGATTAGTCGGCTTCGCTGTTGAGGACACGTATTGCGCATGCCCAGTCATCGTCTACCGCATCGCGCTCTATTCGCAGTTGCTGCTCCAGATTGGAAGAAGCCGCTTGGAGGTCAGCAGATGACGGGGAAACGAGGCATGACGAAATGTAGAGCGATTAGGTAGAATAGGTGTCTTCGGTCTTTCTGGTTGGGGTCCGAAAGACTCTGGAACTGGTTGATTGGAGACACTGAAGAATATGACGACTAACCGGTAGCAGTGACGATCTTGTTGTCATTTCTTATCAGGTCAGAATGCTTGAAAAAGTAAACACTTAGATTGTGTACTCTGTATGTCGACCATAGAGGTTCATCTTTTCCCTCCCAATCAGGCCCAATCCTTCCCCATCTAGAGCTTTATCACTTGACTTTTGTACATGGTAAGCTTGGTGGCAATCAGTGAAGTTCGACTCACCGTATCTCGTTGTACGATAATGATGAGAGCGAAAAAATATTCTACAGTCAGCTTAATCTTCCTACTCTGCACACCTGATCTAAAACTGGTGAATAGAGAAAACCAAGTCCAGCAAGTATGTTTTCTTCAGAATCCACATGGACATGGAAGGGCCAGGAATGCAGTGCGACATTGAAAGTGAACATTGATTGTGCACATAAAACTGTTGAAACGCACCGCGGACAAGACCGAGAGGGGGGGACAGGCAAAGGGGCAATCGGAACGATGTGAGGACCTCAAGCACAAATTGTGCAAGGCTGCAGCTCGATGCGTTGTGTAACTCATCACCATCATCTTACAGTGAAGTAAATTTCACTAAATCGCAGATTCGGGACGAAAACACTGACGGGACAAAAGAACATGAAGAACAATGACAGATTGTGTGTGTGTGTGTGTGTGTGTGTGTGTGTGTGTGTGTGAGGGAGGGAGGCTGTGACCGAATTGGGGGATGGCTACATGGAGAAAAGTAAGATAGATCCAGGGGAGCAAGGACGAACACGGCTGACGGGGTTGATGGGAAAGTGTACACACACAAGGACACTGTCTAGAGAGCATGTGTCCGGATAAATCATTCTGAGATAAGAGACTACGTAACAACACGGTTGGCAAACGGTTTCTGGGCAAATGATGGGGACAAAGAACACATACATTGTGCACAACATTGCCAC